CAGGAACAAGTGGGTTATTTAGTGCAGGAACAAGTGGGTTATTTAGTGCAAGAACAAGTGGGTTATTTAGTGCAGGAACAAGTGGGTTATTTAGTGCAGGAACAAGGGGGTTATTTAGTGCAGGAACAAGTGGGTTATTTAGTGCAGGAACAAGTGGGTTATTTAGTGCAAGAACAAGTGGGTTATTTAGTGCAGGAACAAGTGGGTTATTTAGTACAAGAACAAGTGGGTTATTTAGTGCAAGAACAAGTGGGTTATTTAGTGCAGGAACAAGTGGGTTATTTAGTGCAAGAACAAGTGAGTTATTTAGTGCAAGAACAAGTGGGTTATTTTGTGCAGGGAGAAGCTGGCTATTTAGAACTCTTATAAATGGTCTCGCTGTGCTGAATAATGTAGCGGATGCCAGACATGCCGATGGAACTCATTAGTTCTAGAAGGCGTTGATTGTTCTCACAATGAGTTAATATTTTCATTCATATATTCTTGGACCCTGTAATAATTTTCCTGCGCGTCCAAGGTACGCACCTTAAAACTCATCCCGTTGTTCAACGTAAGCAGTACAGTATTTATGTCACATGGCGATTTCTCGCCTTAACATCATTGCTTGATAGTTGGAATGGGACCACATTACACGATTTATACCTCATGATCAATGTTCAACTCTGTTCACTGAAGACAACACTCGATCAGTACACCAAGGACAACACTCAGTGTTGTCTGTAAGATCGAAAACAAGTGCAATTCTCTCGTCATTACGTCACCAGACGATAGCCGTGTGAGTGCGTGATCGTGCAGCGCTTACATACGACGATCGCCTCTGACATTTCCTTCACGGTAAATACGATTTCTTAACAGCCGATACCTTACGCAATGAGAAAAGTTCACCTATGCGTATGCAGTACATTAAACAGATACTTGAAAATATCATGTCATTTAAGAAACTTGCTTCATTTTCAGACTGTAACTTTGTTTCTTGGACTTCTAAATTTCCTCAACCCTGTTTATTATTTAATATTCTTTATTAAACCATCAGATGCAGGATTGAAGATCAAGTTTCAATTTCGCTGGCGTCCAGTGAAGTTTGATTCTTTAATTTAATAACAGGTTCACAAATATTATTTCTAGTGCATTTTACGAGACTATAATTAGTGTGCAATTGTTATCCGTTGTGGACTACTCAATAAAACTTATTTAAAGCTTACACCTAACATGCACAACGCTTGCAGTTGTCACTAATAAATTATGCTATTTAATGATTACCAAGCTATGCTAAAATTCACTGCTATTCTATTTCAAGCAAGAAAAAAATACTCAAGGCTGCCCCAACGATCGAGGAATGTTGAACCATGCAGCGGGTCCATACTAATGTTCTTCCCACGATATTTCAGTGATCTCGGTGCCTTGAAGATTATTCATCTTCGTAATAACATAGCATATAAATGGCAGTGGCAGATGATCAGGTAGGAAGATAAAAACAAATGTCAGCTTCATGAACCTCATCCTGTACCATCGAACGTTCTTTGGGATAAAGATATAAAAATATTTTTAAAAAACACGTTTTTCTGGTTTTTACAAAACTAAAAATAGTGAAATAAAACAAATAAAAAACTTTAAAAAAAACACGTTTTCTTAACAGACAAAAAAGAAAAAACATTTACTCATACATAAAATTTAAGGTTTGTAAAATGTTATGTAATGTTATGTAAGAGTAAATGTTTTTCTTTTTTGTCCGTTAAGAAAACGTGGTTTTTAAAAGTTTTTTTATTTGTTTTATACTTTGAATTTAGTCTCAGTGGCTGTTCGTTTCCTCTGGATTTAGTCTCAGTGGCTGTTCGTTTCTTCTGGATTTAGTCTCAGTGGCTGTTCGTTTCCTTTGAATTTAGTCCCAGTGGTTGTTAGTATCCTTTAAGTTATTCTCAGTAACTGTGCGTTTCCCTCAAATTAGGTCTCATTCACTGTTCGTTTCTCTAGATTTCTTCAGCTGAATCCGGGCCCAAGCTTTTTCTGCCTAAATATTATATCAACGATATTTTATTCGCTCTATATTATAAAATTATTCAAAATTAAATAATCTTATTTGGATTTTCAAGCATTACATATGTGCTAACAAATCTTCAGCTGAATTTTCGAAATGAAGTATGAACAAATCTGAAGCCTCTCGCGCTTCCAAAACTGCGAGGTAAATCATACTCTGGGGTAAATCAATAGTTGATTTAATAATTCGTAGGAAATAATTCAGAGATAGTGCATAAATGCAATTATCAGATGCAATAAGTGAAAAACGTCTTTATTTTTTTGGTAATGTGCTAATTCTCGCATAATAGATAGTGCCAAAAGTAGTAAATTTTTTAAAACCATGGCACCACGTACGTAGCGTCCCGACCGCGTTCTTTGCGCCACGGCAGCGACCTGACACGACGAGAGGTCAGCCCGCCTGTAGCCTTGCTCCCTATTATTATACGGAGCGAGGAACCTTATCAATTGTTAATGCGATTTTGGCCAGAATACATTTTCTGTACAAATATAATTAGAGATGGGACTCCAATTTCTTTAAAAAAATGAGGTATTTTTTATTTTTGCTGAGCTCAAATCACTTTAGTTTGGCAAGCGAGCGTATCAAAATGAAAATCATGGATACTTTTACTTCAGCCGTCTCGTAATCATTCATTTTATTCATAAAAAAATTCAAGAAGAGCTAATAGAACTCAAAGGTTTGCATGCTTTTTAAGCAAAAACTTTACAATAAATATGAAATCCGGCGTATATGCGTTTTATTCGTATTTACAAAGCCTCTTTCGTTTTAGAACATGAAACATACGACCTTATGCTGAAATAATCCTGCGCAAAGACTTACAAAGCTCCGACGGATAATTCCCCTGGTTAAGATGCCATAATGCCTGGCAGAGGGTAACATGATTTCTCCGACTGAAACAAGGCGAGGTCGGCGAGATATTCACTGGAAATAAAAGCTGCAACTCACGAAAACAGGGTCAAGGAAACGTAAAATGAGTTAAAATCGAGAAAAGAGTTACAGATTTTGAAAGAGTAAAATGTTCGCAAAACAGATTTTGAGATGTCTAAACCATAACGTAAATGAGTAACATCAAGTGTAATATGAGGTGGCACTGAAACACACCGTTATAGGCTAAGAGAAAGAGATTAACTTCAACTTAGATAAATTATTTTAACATAAGATGGAGATTAACCACTGCTTGCTTCGGCAGACGAGGAAGAATCGGTCTTCCGGAAAAAAAAAGAGAAAATGCGCTTAACTGAAAAAAGTTTTAAAAATACCCTACTTTTTCTATTCAGCACCAGGATTAACATTAATAAAATCAGAATATCGCTACTAGAAAAAAACAAGTTTCTATCGTCCTAATAGGCCAGTTAGTTCGGAAGTTACAATTCGACGTGTAGCTTTTATTTTGTGCCCTTGCACGTTCACAGCATTTTTGTGCAGCTCAAACGTAGTCAGGAATGAGGATGCTTGGCGCGGCCAAGCATCCTCACCTTGAAAGAATGTGTTAAAATTGCGCGAATGGGAACAAATTATGATCATGCAAAATGCGCGCGTATTAAATTGAATCAATTGGAGTCGCTTTCAAATTTTTTCCTTAAGTCCACTTTCCCTCTCTGAAAGATAAAGCACTTCTGTTGGCTTTAAATGCGCTCGCCTACACAGTGAAAGGGAAAATTATGTCTGACTTACCTACTCTATAATCCAGTTTGATCACAAGTTATCAAATTACCTAATTTGGTTAATGCTATAATATATATTTTAACTTTGCAGTTTTTGATTACATTATAACCTGTATTGAAAACCTGTGGGCTTAGAATACGTTTGGCTTCCGAACATTTAGCTTACCAACCAAGAAGTGATAGGTGTCGCCTATGATGAATCAAGAGTCAGAATGAAATATTAGTATCTGTTGGTGTGAATTAATGCTAAGAAGTATTTGATTGCCACTTTATCAAACGCGGTATTTTTACCGTTGGGCTCTGGCCGCAGTCTTGCAATTTTTTAACGCTTGTACCTTCACAATTTGAAATTTTTTGCAATCTTATTCATCTTGTTTCTACCCCGAAAAAAAAAATCACGATGCCGCAGAATGTTCTTCTCGTTTCGTTTTACATCGCCAGATCAGCTAACTAAATTCCTATGCAGGCGGCAGTCAGTGCATACTGCTTTTTCATTCTTAATTGTACCTAGTTCGTTTTGTGACATGTAATATCCATTGCGCATACGCTAGTCAATTAGCGCTGCTATTACCCTGTTAATTTAGTTCATCATATGAATTGACTTTACCACATGCACGCACTAATCAGCAAACGTTTTATTTCTCTTCCATAAATTAATTGCAAAAAACTCATTTCATCACTCACTACAGTTTATGCTGTATTACATCCTATCTTTATGGAGTCGGGCAGCTCACAATTGCAAAAACGCATGTCATCATTCACTACGATTCATGCTGTATTACATCCCTTCTTTAGAGTCGGGCATCTCGCGCTAACTAGTGAACATAGTGAACATTTTTAGCTCGTCTCGGGGGATAAGTTGCGTGAGCTGAGGTCACGAACGTTGCGCTCAGTCTTCTTGCGGCCTCACGTTGCCATTGCCAACTCAGCTGCTCACCTTCAAGACGTCGACATCCCAAGCCGCTTCCAGGTCAAGCTGGGGCACTTTTTCCAAGGATGCCGATGCTTTCATGACCTCTAATCGATGCAAGTGATTGCTCTATACCCTGTGCAACATCTGTGGATGCGTGGATTCGTAGACGAATCCTACAGCGAACGTGCAGTACTGCAAGGAGTGGACAAATCATAAACCAATGGCCATAGAATAAGTGGCCCAAGTCATAATGGCATTTACTGTGAATGTCAGTGAAGTTGTTTGATCGACCAAATGAATTGTCTGGATGAACTAAGCGATCATTGCCATATTGATGCCATTCTAATCGCCACTTTGTCTGTGTGCCGACAGTTGGCGATGGCGTGGGCAAAGTACTTGATCCTGGGGAACTACTCAACCAACTGCTGCTTAAAAACATCCACTCAAAAAATTCTGCAACCGAGACAGAAAGACCAAGCAAAGTGCTGCCAGAAAAAGAAGTTACCGTCGTAGAGGCTGCTGAAGAACCTCCTGTAGTTTCTAATGCCGTTACGACTAACTTACGACCACTTGGTGTGTCGAGCAGCGTACGACTGCCCCCCAGACTGCCACCGCTTAGGAGCGTGCCGGCGAAAAACGGTACGGTCAGCTCATTTCAGCTGTCATCGAAACGAAAAGAATAATATTAAAATGAGTATATTATTTGGGTGGGTAGCATAAAAATGGGTGGAATTTGTGTGATATTTGGTAAGATTGATGCACGAGTAAAATTGTAGCCAACAGTGGCGAATATGTAGAAAACATTGGAATACCTTCTTATATGGCTGGAAGTAAAGCTATACAATCTCCACTTGTATCTGTTGTATCAATTATCTGTTGGGCCAAATTGTAAAGTATTTTAAATTACATTTTAAAATCATTTCAAATACGTGTGATCCATATTAAATCTTTATAATTATTAGTCTGAAGTTGACGTGACAAAATTAGATAATAGCTTCAAGATTACGAATTTAATGAATTACTTATGAATTACTTGCGTGCTTGATATCAAGCGAAACTGGCACTTCGTTTTCTCTCGGATGTCGCTCGGGAAGTGAATGCTACCTTTCTTTACTATAGAATAGAAATGTCGGCTCTGAAGAAATAGGCCCATGGCCTATTGCCGATTCTTGTACTCTTCGTGACTTGATTCCACAAGGGATCCGGCCATATAAACCATATCTTTCATAACTGTCTCTAACTAATTATTCTTCCTTCACTGTATTAACCAACAATGTACTTCATGGGAATCTAAAGCATGTTTTAGATTACGACGATATTCAGACCGCAATAATTTCAATATGCAATTTGACGGGCAAGGGAAATTTGGTGCATATCTACGCTAAGTCTGTGGCAATTTTTCTGAAACCACCAAAGATCCAGCATAGAATCGTCTTCTCAAATGATCGTGTAGGTAATATTGCCTCTGTTTGAATACATTTCACTCAAATGCTTTCCGTCAATTGAAATCAGCGTTGCAAAATTATTCATGCTCACTATACGCTTACCATTCTAAATTTTTAATATTTATATATTTGAAATACAATGAATTTACTATTTCTGCACCGATTTTCCAATCATGACTCGGAAATGTATAAACATTAAAAACTAAATTACTTACATGACTTGTGCAGCTTGTCACGGACGACAGTGCGACGATGAAGGCACCACACCCGAGCGATGGAAGATGCCACTCATCAACCTTGCTGGCAAGCAGTACTACCTCGGCATCTTCTTCAAGGTGTGTACTGCACTCGGAAAAACTAATAGTTCATGTTATCCAAATAATAAAACGCTTTTTGCACGTAGTATTGACACGTCCTTTTGTCGGGGCAAAATGGGTCGGGATGGCTACCCGCAAAGGGGCAAAAAAGTTCTGCGAAATTTGAAGAAAGTCTTGCTAAATTTTATGAGTGTTGATACAGAGTGCACATGAAACAAAATGCAGCTGCTATAACATTACATCCTCATTTGCTTTAAGGTGTGTAGTGAATATTTAGTGCTTATCGATCAAAATACTGCTGTTATAACACCGCCTCCGCTTCTTCATAGAGGTCAAGTTCATTCGGCTGTCGCAGCATTCGCTGTTATGGCTTAGCCATTAATACTTAGAAAAATTGTTGAAACATGGTTGATGTGTTCCTGAAAAAGTGACCAACCGAAAACAAAGGGTTTTCTGTGTAGCCCATGCAAATTTACGAAGTATTATTAGATTCTTTTCGCATTCAGATAATGCAACCGCCATTATTCTGCATCTTCGAAACTACGTTACTTGGGTTGAACAAGTGTTCTCTTGATATTTTACATTATTAATATCATTAGTCTAGAGAAAAGCGATCTCTAACTACGTACGTTCTTTGTTGCAAGGTTTTATTACGAGTAACATAATGATTCATAAGAGAGACTCTTGGCAACGTAAATAAATATTCTTTTCAATATTCTATTAATGACGGATCAATGTCATTTAAAAAATTAATGACCTCTTTACCAATGCATTACGAATACTACGTAAACAACGATAACAACGCATGACTCACCCTTCAATACAGAAGAACTTCTATGGGTATAGATTTTACTCACGCTTTTAATATAAATCGTTGCCGTGATCTTTTGTTGAGCAGGCGAACTGGTACAAGGCGGCGCAATACTGTCGCTTCCACGGCATGCATCTTGCAGCCATCGAAAACGAGCGAGAAAACAGAGTGCTGGAGGCTCACATACAGGATGCAGGTCAGAAAATTATCAGATTATTTTAAAAATAGTTCATTTAATTAATAATCAAGCTTCATATAAAACTGCCACTGATTGAAGTTCCGTTTAGCGGTTAGTTTTAGTTTTGTAGCTTCAGCTATAAAATGAAAAACAGTAGCAAAGTTTCGGATGTCTATTCCACATAAATTTGTGCATATTATGTTGCACAGTTGCCGGTGTTGTTTCAAGAACTTTAATTGAAGAATTTTGGCGAGTTCACGATATTTAAACGTGCGAAGAGAGGGCGTTCTTAATCCAACTCCTACTTTTGTATTTTAAGTTTTGAAGAAATTCGAACGATAATTTATAGAAATTTACTATGAATCCTCGTATATCGAACTATTACAGGCCTGGGTCACGAGCATTTCTGGACGTCGGGCACGGACCAGGGTGAAGAGGGACGCTTCTTCTGGCTAGCCAACGGCAGGCCGGTAACCTTTGAAAACTGGAACGCCGGAGAGCCTAATAATTTCCAGTAAGTGTTATAAACTAGACTTGCTATAAATAAACTACATTGCTATACAATTCTACATTATTGGCAAGTTAGTTCTTTGGTATTACATTTCACAATTTCCTAGAAATTTATCGTTTTATTTTAAAAGTTATTTGTTTTTAAACACATATAAATGCATATTTCCAGGTTTTGGTATAATTCGGCAGAAGCTGTTTTCTAACGCAAGTTTCGTTAAGGCCAGAGAGTATTTCTTTTTAACAATTTCATGTTGCTTTCTTAATTCAACGATTTGAGTACCGAATCAGTAAGACTTGAAAGTTCTGATATAATGAGTAGGTAGCCAAAAGAGATTACATTATAATGAAATATTATTTCCAGGTATGAAGATGGAGAGAAGGAACACTGTCTGGAACTGTGGAACCGCGACGGCAAAGGATTGAAGTGGAACGACTCGCCGTGCTCCTTTGAGACTTTCTTCTTATGCGAAGTGCAGTAGATAAAAAATTTGAGTTCGAAAAACAACGAAAGAGTACCAACTTGCCTTAACCAAGTTCGTTATCCATACTTCTTGGTAAATTAGTTAATGTCCGAAAATAATCATTACAAAATGGTGCGCACGAACGATTCGTTGCAAATGGTGCGTACGAATGATGCGCTGGCACAATTAGATGGAGTCATGAATCGTTACTCTAAGAAGATACTTGTAAACGAAGCTCTCTAGGTTTTTGTATTATATCTTATATTTAAAATAAAATTCTGACGTTGCTTAGTATTTCGTTAAGGTGCATGCGTAATCAATGTAACTTTGCGTAGATAATTTACCCCGTGGGTCAACTTAGTTTTTAAGTGTTTCATGTGGAAGCTCAATAAATGAATAAGAATTTTGCAAAGTATAATGGAATTTATTAGAACGGTATCTAATCATAATTTAACGATCGAGGAAAACGTATGACGGTATATGCAAATGACATTGATTGAAATTCCAGCGCAAACAGGTTTATTTACATCACTTACAAATTATTGTACATAATACAGTAATCCTTTCTCAAAGTACAAGAGTTACGTATTGTAGTACAAAAAAAGCCCTTTTTATCAATGTTAACATTTGTAACTATACTCCCGAAAAGAACGAAAAAGTGTACATTGCTTGACGTAAACTAATAACTGTATCGTGCAAGGCAATTTTCATCAACATTACCAAGAATTTAGAGCTTCAAAACCATTGTTTAGTTTAATCCATTGACAACCAGGCTAGTTGCTCACATTAGACTACTTGTATTGTTGCATGAACTGTAAAATAAATTTCTGGCGGTTTTTCCGCACGAATATTTAAATTTCATTTTTGAAGGAGCCCAACGAAGTTAGGTTCATTCAGACCCCAGTTTGTTTTATGTAAGCTGGCAATTGGTCTTCTCTCGCAGTTAGCTCTCACTCGGTCGTCTCTTGCATTTGTGCTCGAAACTTTAAGGTTGAACAATGAAAGATGATTAAATGACTAGTTGACTATCAATTTATTACGGTGCATGTCTAGCAGTATTCTACTATCGTTCCATGGCAACTCGTACGTGCATTTCAGAAATTTTCAAAAACAACTCCTTGTAAACCTGATCAATGTTGGGGAACTTCTTATGCTTCAAGGCGTCTTTGATATGCTTGATGAGCTTGATAGTGTTGAAGCCTTCAGTTTCCTTGGCCAATTTTTCGACATCCGCAGCCGTTATTTCGTCAAATTCTGGGCGCGCGACACAAGGTCCTGGTTTCGGCGCTGATGGCACAGGAAGTTTACTTGTTGCGCTTTTCTGCAACTGCTGCAGCAGAATCTTTTTTTGCTGCTGCAGCTGTCGTTGGAGAAGAGATCTCTGCTCACGCTGCAAGACAGACGACTGCGACGGAGAAAGATCATATGACGGACCGGCATCGTGAGACAAAAGCCTTGTCGTCGCTTTGTCACCCGTCAATAGTTTTCCATCGTAGTTTTTAGGCGGAAGAAATTTAATGGCTTTTGTTTCTCGAGGTAAACTTTCTGCATTCAATGCCTTTTCCATTGACGCGTCGTCAAAACACAGTTTATCGTTGCTTGAGGCCACCTGTGATGCCGGGACACTCTTTTGTTTTGTACTGGCTAACCTGGACGGTTCGTTACGCGCCGACTTCCTCGCGTCGCATGAGTAGGTGGGAGACCTTTTTCTTTTGAAGGACTCATTCGAATTTTTCTTGCCATCAGTCTTCAGTATTTGCGAACGTTCGGATTCGTTTTCACACGAAGGTCCAGGAATGTCTTCAATGTAAGAATAAGTCATAATGGGTGCTTTTGATGTTTCCTTCTTACTCGACGCTGGGCGACGGAATGCAAAATCTGCCGACGTTTCACCCGCAGTTGAACTACTAGTTGAACTACTAATGGTTTGCCAGCCTTTTTTCGGTCTGATTCCCAAAAGCTGACGGGTTTCAGAAGAATACCTAGTTTTCACCGGTTTTTCCTCAGCCGTTTCCGATCTATTGTGACACGTGGAATCCAGATTTTTTGCCAAAGAGGACCCATCGAAATGGCTCATCATCTTCTCCTTGATTTGTTTCTTACGTCTGGCAGCGCGTTGCAGGAGCATCGCTTGCCACTTTTCGTCCAACATGTCGCACACGCCCTTATGCCACATCTTCAACCACTCCGACTTCTGGTGCTCAGCGGACCTGTATCGTTCCCTGACTTGCTCCATGTAGATCTCTACGAAAGCCTCATAGTGGTCTTCAAAGTCAGGATGCATTTCCGGTATTTCCAGATAAACCTGCATAAATATTCCATTAAGAAACAGATCAAAAGTAACATAAGGATGACTTTTGAAACTTGAAATTAAGCGATTAGCTATAGGCGAAAATCGTCGATAATATGGAAAGTTCAACCGACTTTAATAGTCTTAACATAATAACATTAAGACTTTAATAGTCGTTAATAGTCTTAGTTCATCAATTCAGAATACAATTTTAATGGAAGGAATATGATTCTTGCAAGTGACTTACTCTGTGCTCATCTTCAATTTCGAGCCATTCCCGCAGCTCTTCGTCGCTCACAAACTGTCGGTCTTTGTGGTCAATATTCGAAGTAGCTGTCACAGCGGGACTGAAAAGAAAACGTGCAATCAAAACAAACGTTCAACACTGATCAACGATAATGGAGCAAACATGATGCAAAAAATACTCATTAGGAATCAAGTGAATTTTAACACGGCGAAAAGAACGTTGGTTACAGACATCGGTGCGAATATCTGAGCAAGTCTCGGTGACTATTTACTTACGAGGTAGCATCCAATCGGGCGTTGGGTCCTAGTGAGCCATGCAGCTCGCGCTCCGGCATGGTGGGTTCATCAGGGGACACATCTGGAGTCGCAAACGGTGACTTCACAGACGAAGGCTTCCCAGGCAAAGGAGTTACACTTGAAGGCATTAGAGACGGTGACATCACCGACGATGGAGATGTCACATACGACGGCATCACATGCTGTGGCTTAGTTGACGACGGTTTTGCTGTCAGCGGAATTACACTCGACTTCACCGCAGACGGCGGGAGCGCAGACGACGGGAGCGCAGATGACGGGAGCGCAGACGGCGGGAGTGCAGACGGCAGGAGCGCAGACGGCGGAAGCGCAGACGACTGATTGTCAGATGGCGGTATTCCAGTCAAAGGAATTACAGTCGATGGCATCGCTTTCGGCGGTCTCACATATGGCTGCATACCAGTCAGCGGTATCACAGTCGACGGCATCGTAGACGGCGGTATTCCAGTAAGCGGAATTACAGTCGATGTCACACCAGACGGTGTAATCACAGACGGAGGCATCACAGACGGAGGCATAACAGGCAGAGGAATCACAGACGGAGGCCTCACAGACAGTGGCATCGCAGTTGGTGGTATTAAATGTGATGGCATCACAGCTTGCCATGGCACGAATCCCTCACACGGAGAATGGGTGGCAGCATTCACAATGGACGTTCGACCGCCGGCAAGGCTTGACGCTAGCAACTGGAATTCGTTGGCGTCTGGACGGCTGGACGCAGAGAAATTCTGACCGTGATGAGATGCTGCTGCAGGGGGCGGGTAATAGATGTTAGGAGGCGCTTCATTGATCAGAGGTGGCGGGTGACTTGTGTTGAGCAATGGACAATTCATAGCAGCAGGTAGGTTAGTCATGAGAGAGGGAGGAGGTTGATTCATATTTAGAGGGGGCGGTTGATTGATGTTTGGATGACGCTGTTGATTGATGCTAAAAGACGACGGTTGATTGATGTTTAGTTGAGTTAATTGATTGACACCGCGTATGGGCAGTTGAGTTATATTATCTGTCGATTGATAGAAATTGAGGTTAGTCACGAGCGAAGTGCTCAAGGCTTTTTTCGAGGAGTTATCGGTAGCATCGGGCACTCGTTTCACTCCCTCCAATGCAGAGCTGAAATTAAGAAGAAAAACACTTGACAGATTGTCATTTGAATTGAAAGTATAGCAAAGACACTAAATTTGTTACATTCATCATCGGAATTCTTTTGTTAATTGGAGAAGCCAAAGCAAAAGGCCTTTTAGAGCAAAAACAAGGTGAAATTAATGGATATTTGAACTCAATTGTTATCGTTGGATGAAAATATACCAAAATCATTTAAGGGGAGCATGTCAGTCAAAAAAACTTTTTTATTTACGGACGAATCATTATGAAACTCGGTGCATATTTGTAAAATAGAAATCAATGGCTTTTTTTCAAAAAAAAAAAACTGAAAAATTTTTTCGAAAAAACTGAAAAAGTGAAGTTATAGAAAACGGCAAAAAAATCACTCAGGATTTTCAAAGAATCAAAGAACAAAGAAGAAATCGAAAAAAAATGACCGGATGATCTCTAGAGATTTTTCTTACAAATCGAATGGTATACCGGTATATCTCTCAATGCTGTAGCTTGAAATCATTGGAGGATATAGGTCTTTAAGATGAAAAATCCAATTTTTCAGGAAAGCCAAAAGACTGAAATTTGTCATCATTGAAGGTATAGGTTTCACTTGCGCTTCGACGGCTGTCGTGAACGAACAAATGAACGCACAAACATGACTTTGGTCTTGAAATGCGCACTATTTGGACCTTTAAATGAGACTAAAACCGAAAAAGTAAAAATGTTCAGTTGACGGACACGCTCCCTTTAACTGAACGTAAGTCCCACCTTGCACCCGCGGAGTTACAAGTAGAGTCTTCATTGAGGCTAGAAGAATGCTGGTCCTTTTCATGTTCTGTAGAATTTATTTTTGGTGAATTCATTCCTTTTTTTACCGACTGAGCTGAACCAAGCCTGATCTTGCCTCGTTCAATTTCTAGTTTGGCCTCTAATTCGAGTTCTTTAATTCTCTCAGCAGAGAGTATCGACCTTGAATAGAATCTGTTACCGACTCTGATCATGCCGCTCGTTTTTTTGGTACCAGATTCTTCTTTTTGTTTTTCTTTTGAAACTGGATCGACACGTGAAACTGGGTCAACTTTGGACGATATAGTGTTGGAAGCATTTTGATTTTTGCTGGCACTGCTAATTTTTTGCATCTCCGTCAACGGAGTTTCATTTTTATTAGCTTTCGTAGACATTTTTCCCTTCTTATCGCCCGTTAACGGACTTTTAAGCGGTCCTTTCGACAATTTGAGATCGCCCAAAATTGGCTTCAAATCCTTGCATATTTTCACTTGTACATTATTAGGTGTTTCTCTCTTCTGTTTATGCCTAGCCCAGATAGGTTTATTCAAACGCTGTTGAACAAACGGAGTCCCTATGGTGGGTATTTGATGGAAATCCGTCGGTTCGCGGTCTGGATTCATCACCTCTTCGTTTGGACCCATGGGCCAAAGGCCGGGATCCATTAGATCCTGGTTTTCACCCATTGTCCATTGGTTTGGATCCATCGGACCTTGGTTCAGACCCATCGACACCTGTTCTTCATTCAACGGCCATTGATCTGGACCCATGAATCCTTGGTCTGGGACCATTGTGACTTGATTGGAACACATCATACTTTGACTATCCATTACTTCATAATTAGAACCCACTGCGCCACTACTCTCCGGGACCTCAACTCCTATTGCGGGCTCATCTTGCTGATTTAAATCAATCATTGGACCAAGTCGCTGCTCCAGATTCCTGTTCGAGAGCTCTACTGAATTTTGAATTATTTCATTTTCAATACAAGAAGCCGGCGCGCTTGTTCGAGACACAACAGTCGAGTTTTCGGTAGGTAATGAATATGCATTTGTTTTGCAATTAGAATGTTCGAATATTCCTTCAGTGGACGGATCGGAGTTTGACTTGATAATGAAGGAAGTATCGCGTGAAGCATAAACGTTTTTCTTGGTTGAAGGCGGTGAAAGTTCTGAAGACGCCTCCTGCAAAGCTAATCTTTGCCTAGATAAATTTTGGATAACCTTGAGTACATCCGAAGTCGATGTGAGGTCGATCACACGGGAGCCAGAAGGAAAAGCTTTTTCATTACTTATATCAAAGTCGGTCCCTTTGCAAGTTGAGGCACTCGATGACTGAGAAGTAGGATCATCCCAAACTTTAGGTGAGCCAATTCGAAGTTTTGCATTATGTTCAGTCAATGGCTCTAAGCGAGAAGCGATGTCTGTACCTGCGTTGGTAGAGGTTTGTAGGCTTTTCCTGCTCGATCGTTTTGGAGATGGACTTCTACTTCGTTCCCATGAAGGACCCTTTGGAGATGAATTCCTACTTCGCCCCCACGAAGGATGCTTAGGAGATGAACTACCACTTCGCGCCCAAGGAGGACGTCTTGTAGATGGACTTCTACTTCGCCCCCACGAAGGACGCTTTGGAGTGGGACTTCTACTTCGTCTCCGCAAAGGACGCTTTGGAGTGGGACTTCTACTTCGCCCATTCGCCCCCACGAAGGACGCTTTGGAGTGGGACTTCTACTTCGTCTCCACAAAGGACGCTTTGGAGTGGGACTTCTACTTCGTCTCCACAAAGGATGCTTTGGAGTGGGACTTCTACTTCGCCCCCACGGAGGATTCTTTGGATATGGACTCGTACTTCGCTCCAACCAAGGATTTCTAGGAGATGGACTTCTACTTCGTCCCCACAAAGGATGATGTGGTGATGGACTTCCATTTAGGTCCCACGAAGGACTCTTTGGATGAGGACTTCTAATTCGCATCGACGAAGGATGCTTCCGAGATGGACTTTTATTTCGCTCCCACAAAGGATGTTTAGGAGATTTACTTCTACTTCGGCCCCATGAAGGACGATATGGAGACGCATTGTCTTGACTATGGGATGATGCCGAATATGGATCCCTCATCTTGTGTGCATCCGGTTCACTGCGGTTAAGTGAACTAGAGTGCTTCAAGTCATTTAAATCCCTCCGAGCTTTCAAGAGTGGACTTCTTGAAGTACGATTACTATCATTTGCTACTGTTGAAGACATTTCAGAATGGTAAATTTTCCTGCATATTTTTGAGTCGGAATCGATTAAATTTTCCGGGAATTCTCGGTCAAGTCTTGTATACACAGACCCGGAGCATTGTGCGTGAGACAAGTGAGAACGCTTGGAAGAAACGGTGGCACTGCCACGACCGGATGAACGATCCCTAGAGCGTTCTGGAGTTCTGGACCGCGACGCAGTCACTGACAAAGCGTTGATATCAAGTGAAGGCGATGTGCTTTCTCGCGCTACTGAACGCATAATTTTTAACTCTCTTATACTTGGACGATCCTCCAGTCGCTCCGCAACTGGTACCACTCGGCCTGAAGGCGGATTCTTCTTGACCGGATCAAAATTAGCCGAAATTCTATTCAATGAACGCTTATCCTTTTCTGGTTCCTTTGCCGCAAACGCTTGGCCTGAAGAAGGTTTGTCCTTAGTCACAGGTCCTCGGACAGACGATTGTTTGCTCTTTTCTAGCTCCTTACTCTCGGGCCCGCGGCCAGATGAACGTTTGTCCTTTTCTAGCTCCTTACTCTCGGACCCGCGGTCTGATGAACGTTTGTCCTTTTCTAGCTCCTTACTCACAGGTCCACGGCCAGATGAACGTTTGTCCTTTTCTAGCTCCTTAGTCACAGGTCCGCGGCCAGATGAACGTTTGTCCTTTTCAACGCTTGGCCTGAAGAAGGTTTGTCCTTACTCACAGGCCCGCGGCCAGATGAACGTTTGTCCTTTTCCAGCTCCTTGGTCACATGTCCGTGGCCAGATGAACATTTGTCCTTTACTAGATCCTTAGTCACAGGTCCGTGACCAGATGAACGTTTGCCTTTTTCTAGCTCCTTACTCACAAGTCTGCGGCCAGATGAACGTTTGTCTTTTTCTAGCTCCTTACTCACAGGTCCGCGGCCAGATGAACGTTTGTCCTTTTCAAGCTCCTTACTCACAGGTCCGTGGCCAGATGAACGTTTGTCCTTTTCAAGCTCCTTACTCACAGGTCCGCGGCCAGATGAACGTTTGTCTTTTTCTAGATCCTTAGTCACAGGTCCGCGGCCAGATGAACATTTGTCCTTTTCTAGATCCTTAGTCACAGGTCCGCGGCCAGATGAACGTTTGTCCTTTTCAAGCTCCTTACTCACAGGTCCGCGGCCAGATGAACGTTTGTCTTTTTCTAGCTCCTTACTCACAGGTCTGCGGCCAGATGAACGTTTGTCTTTCTCTGGCTCCTTAGCCAAAAGTGCCCGGAAGAATGAACGTTTTTTCTTTTTTCGCTTCTTAGCCAGAGGCCCGCGGCCAAATGAACGTTTGGAGTTTTCGTGTCCAGTAGAATTAATTTTTGAAGTTATATTACATGAATTCATTTCCTTTTTCACTGATTGACCTGAACCTATTATGATCTTAGCTCGTTCAATTTTAGCTTCCAATTCGAGTTCTTTAATTTTCTCAGCAGACAGAATCGACTTTGTATAAAATCTGTCCCCGACTCTTATCATGTCAGTTAGTTTTTTGGTGCCAGATGCCTCCCGTTGTTCTTCATCTGAAACTCGTTTTTTATCTGTAACTGGATTAACACTTGACCCTGGATTAACACCCAAAGCTTGGTTGTATGAATTTCCAGCTTCAGGATTTGGAGCTTTCGATGAATTTTCCCAGCCACGAGGCAGTTCGGCGACTTCGTTTTCCCATTTATCGATGGTATCTGTTAAGGCTTCTGAACACTCCTGAGCGCATGGAAGATCATCGGGATCTGAAAAATATAAAAATTTTCACATTACAGAATCAAAGAATTTTTTTAATTCATTGTCATTTCGAGGAAAATTTTTCGTTTAAACTATAAATGAACTATTAAACTGAAGTAAAATGAATTAATTACGAGTTTCCGATCATTTTCTGCTTTTATATGGTCTTAGCTGATTACAATTACGCGTTAATGCATTAGTAAATTTAAAGCCTGGCATAATCACGAGTAAAAATATACACGACTGCACGGACATATTTATTAGTACCCTGTGCCACACCTGTGAGCTGAAGCATTTAGCAATCTATAACACACCTATGAGCTGAAGTATATAGTGACCTATGACACACCTATAAGCTGAAGTATATAGTGACCTATGACACACCTATAAGCTGAAGTATATAGTGACCTATGACACACCTATAAGCTGAAGTATATAGTAGTGACCTATAACACACCTATGAGCTGAAGTATAAAGTAGTGACCTATAACACACCTATGAGCTGAAGCATATAGTAGTGACCTATAATACACCTATGAGCTGAAGTATATAGTAGTGACCTATAACACACCTATGAGCTGAAGTATAAAGTAGTGACCTATAACACACCTATGAGCTGAAAACTTCGTTTTCCCATTTATCGATGGCATCTGTTAAGGCTTCTGAACACTCCTGAGCGCATGGAAGATCATCGGGATCTGAAATATATAAAACTTTTCAAATTACAGAATCAACGAATTTTTTAATTCATGGTCATTTCTAGGAAAATTTTTTGTTTAAACCATTAATGAACTATTAAACTAAGTAAAATGAATTAATTACGAGTTTCCGATCATTTTCTGCTTTTATATGGTTTTAGCTGATTAAAATTACGCGTTACGGCATTCGTAAATTTAAAACCTGGAATAATCACGATGTAAAAATAAACACATATAAAAATAGACACATTTATTAGTAACCCATAACACACCTATGAGCTGAAGCATATAGTGCATATAGTATGAGCATACCTATGAAACACCAATGAGCTGAAGCATATAGTGCATATAGTATGAGCATACCTATGAAACACCTATGAGCTGAAGTATATAGTGATTCAAAATCTCCAAATTTGACATTGACAAACCTATAAGCTGGAGCTGGCGAGCGTAGTTGAAGTTGGCGACATTGAAGCGACAGCCGAGCAGCGAGCACAGTTCTTGATAGCGTTCCTTGTAGAGACGCTCGGTCGTCACGCACTTGTTCACTTTGGGGCCTGGCGTGTAAAATAAAGGTAAGTGTACATGTAATTTTCATATTCAAAGATCAACTTACAAGTAATACTTGGATACTTTTGTAGCAAATGTCAATAAGTATACGCTTAGCATTCGTTCTTAACAATCAATTTTCAAGTAATGTACTAGGAATTTTTACATTTGTATTACAAATCGAGGATTATGATTTGCATTTTAACGTGTGCAAAATTTGTGAAGGTATTATTTCGCCAAAATTAAGGTATTATTATCATTAGTGAAGGTATTATTTCCAGGCCCACATACCATGAAGGAATTTACATTAATTCTATAAAAAATTCTTGAAATACGTAACAATTGAAGTTTGAGTTGAAGTCACAGTCATGCCTGTACATCAAATGCTTGATCTATTGGAGGGAGGGCTCATACAAAGTTCAGATTGGAATAAGATGATTGAAGCGCTTTTGATATCAGATCATCTGATATCAAACGTAATCATTTGATGTGATATCATATCTCTGATATGATATCATCATATCAAGAGTTTGAAACGTAAGCATTTACCATCCACCTGGTGTGAACTACCAAGATACATACTATCAAAATTCGCTACGATAATACTATCAAAGTACATGAGGTCGGCCTAAGAACACGTAGCGGCCAATTATTCGCCTTTGACTGGTAGGTTTCAACTTGATTAGTCGTCAATGATTGGCTGACGGAGTTACGAACGAGTTACTGTTTTTTGAAATGACCGTCCACTGGTGCGTGCTAGCGAGAGCAAGGCCTCCTCAATTCAGCACACAAAATCTAGGATAGAGAACCATCCATACATAAATATATTATTAAAAGCACGAATCTAGTGTAACGAAAAGAGCATACATTGAAAAAAAGAGCATATACAATCCATACCAAGAGCGTTGTTGAGAAATTCATTAAGTCTTTGGAGCCAATGTTTGTGCTCGGCATCGGTGAGCATCGCGGTCGCCCCCACCACCAGCAGCCGCGCGCCGTCAGCACTCAGCCGCAGCTTGTGCTGCTCCAGCGCCTGCACCAGGAAGTTGCTCGTGCCCAGCAGCAGGTGCGCTGCACATCAGTGTACATTAATAACTTTGTATGGTAAACACACCATCATACAACAAACCCACCTGCATACAACAAACACACATTCATACAAGAAACACCTTACAAGAACATTTTTCCCCATTTAATTTTTTGTTGGGCAAATCCCACAGAAACCAAGGAGGCAAAATACAATTATTTAGACAGGAGTTTCAATTTTTCTCTGATTGCACGTAGCAGCTCCTACACATTTTATAGAAGACAGACTTTTATTCAGGAAGTAACCGCCACATAAATAGAAAATTCGACATATATAAAAAATACTATAAAATTAAAACTATGTAACAAAACAAAAATAAATTAAACATAGCCATTTTCTGTCAAAAGTCACGAGAAAAAAGACACATAAATTCTCCATCAGAATACCATCATACCTAAATAAATTAATGAATATGGTTTGTTTTTTAAGTGTGGACAAAATCCAATCCAATTGTGGATTTAGAAATTAAAGTTGCATACAGGAACAGAGGTGACCACCCACCGTTTGCATAAGGCGGTTGGTCTCCCTGGCAGACGATGACAAGACGTGACACGTCCATGACGTGTTTAAGCAGCGTGACCATGTGGCGTGCCCTGACATCGCTCGTCGTCACCACCACCAGCACCACGTCGTCTGGTCAACAATATTATTATTATTATTAAAGTAGTGACCTATAACACACCTATGAGCTGAAGTATATAGTAGTGACCTATAACACACCTATGAGCTGAAGCATATAGTAGTGACCTATAACACACCTATGAGCTGAAGCATATAGTGACCTATAACACACCTATGAGCTGAAGCATATAGTGACCTATGAAACACCTATGAGCTGAAGCATATAGTGAATATAGCATGAGCATACCTATGAAACACCTATGAGCTGAAGGATATAGTGACCTATGAAACACCTAGGAGCTGAAGCATATAGTGACCTATAACACACCTATGAGCTGAAGCATATAGTGACCTATGAAACACCTATGAGCTGAAGCATATAGTGCATATAGTATGAGCATACCTATGAAACACCTATGAGCTGAAGCATGTAGTGATCCAAAATCTCCAAATTTGACATTGACACACCTATGAGCTGAAGCATATAGTGACCTATCACACATATGAGCTGAAGCATATAGTGATCTATGGCACACCTATGAGCTGAAGAATATAGTGTGTGACCTATAACACACCTATGAGCTGAAGAATATAGTGACCTCTGACACACCTATGAGCTGAAGCATATAGTGACCTATAACAAACCTATAAGCTGGAGCTGATTTCAACTTCATAACGTTCTTAGTTTTTTATTTATTAACAAATTAAAAAGGTCAGTTAATTCTGGTTCACCCTGTACTTTCAAAGTACATGTGGTCGGCCTAAGAATAAGTAGCGGCCAATTATTCGCCTTTGGCTGGTAGGTTTCAACTTGATTTGCCGTCAATGATTGGCTGACGGAGTTACGAACGAGTTACTGTTTTTTGAAATGACCGTCCACTGGTGCGTGCTAGCGAGAGCAAGGCCTCCTCAATTCAGCACACAAAATCTAGGATAGAGAACCATCCATACATAAATATATTATTAAAAGCACGAATCTAGTGTAACGAAAAGAGCATACATTGAAAAAAAGAGCATATACAATCCATACCAAGAGCGTTGTTGAGAAATTCATTAAGTCTTTGGAGCCAATGTTTGTGCTCGGCATCGGTGAGCATCGCGGTCGCCCCCACCACCAGCAGCCGCGCGCCGTCAGCACTCAGCCGCAGCTTGTGCTGCTCCAGCGCCTGCACCAGGAAGTTGCTCGTGCCCAGCAGCAGGTGCGCTGCACATCAGTGTACATTAATAACTTTGTATGGTAAACACACCATCATACAACAAACCCACCTGCATACAACAAACACACATTCATACAAGAAACACCTTACAAGAACATTTTTCCCCATTTAATTTTTTGTTGGGCAAATCCCACAGAAACCAAGGAGGCAAAATACAATTATTTAGACAGGAGTTTCAATTTTTCTCTGATTGCACGTAGCAGCTCCTACACATTTTATAGAAGACAGACTTTTATTCAGGAAGTAACCGCCACATAAATAGAAAATTCGACATATATAAAAAATACTATAAAATTAAAACTATGTAACAAAACAAAAATAAATTAAACATAGCCATTTTCTGTCAAAAGTCACGAGAAAAAAGACACATAAATTCTCCATCAGAATACCATCATACCTAAATAAATTAATGAATATGGTTTGTTTTTTAAGTGTGGACAAAATCCAATCCAATTGTGGATTTAGAAATTAAAGTTGCATACAGGAACAGAGGTGACCACCCACCGTTTGCATAAGGCGGTTGGTCTCCCTGGCAGACGATGACAAGACGTGACACGTCCATGACGTGTTTAAGCAGCGTGACCATGTGGCGTGCCCTGACATCGCTCGTCGTCACCACCACCAGCACCACGTCGTCTGGTCAACAATATTATTATTATTATTATTATGATTATTATTATTATTATTATTAGAAAGCCAGCAGCAGCTTGCATATTGTATAATAAGTTAACTATAATAATAATAATAATAATGCTTGCATTATTATGCAAACAGCAGCACCACGTCGTCTGGTCAACAAAATTACCGTTATAAATTGTGCAAAAAGAAAGTGGAGTGTATATACATATATAACTACAATTAAATATTTACCAAATGTTTTTAATTTCAACGTCGCTGAATATCAAATCATTTTTTGACGGATTCTGGCAAAATATCAATATAAACTAAAACTTCAATTTCAGTAAACTTCGGCTCATTCATCTAAAATACATACAAGATTGAAGCAAATTCTAAATGAACAGACTGGTCCGCAGCAATTAGTTTGTGGCTGCCGTGATTAAAAATAAATTAATCTTCAGTTCAAGTAAAGTAAACTTCGAATTATTTCTGTACAATATCAATCAAAATTGAATATAATTTCAGTTGAACGGACTGGTGCGCAGCAATTTGTTCGTGACAGCCGTGATTAAAAATAAATTAATCTTCAATTCAAGTAAACTTCGAATTATTTCTGTATAATAGCAATCAAGATTGACAATAATTTCAGTTGAACGGACTGGTGCGCAGTAGGTGCGGGGTGACTGTGGTGAGCTCATGTGTGATGTGAGCCAGCAGGTGGTGGCCCGCTTCAGTGCTCTCGTACACGCAGTTATGTCGGTGCTGAGACGGCGTCTTGTTAAAGAGATTATCTGCACACAAAACAGGTCCTCTCAGCCATTTGTGTACTTATTGTATACATTTAAATCAACTATATTTTGTGTTATCCGTACACTTGTAGGCAGATTAGATATTCTCATTCATTTGTGTACTTGATGTATACATTTAAATCAATTAGATATTGTGTTATCTGCACACAACACAGGTTTTCTTAATCATTTGTGTACTTATTGCATCCATTTAAATCAATTAGATATTGTGTTATCTGCGCACAACACAGGTCTCCTCATTCATTTGTGTACCTATTGTATACATATTGTGTTGTCTGCGCACAGAAAAGGTTCTGCAATTTGGTGTTATCTTTGCTGGTTTCGAATTAAGCTAGACAAATTATAATTCAATAAGAAAGACATTGAAGCTACATAAATGAATTTTCATACTCATCGCAATGCTGCTGCAGAGACGGTTCCAAGAAGCTCGGTATTCTACAGCAAACTTGATCATGGTAGCTTTGGCATTCTTCAGCTGGAACGCGTTAACATACGGCATATGTTCTGAAAAAAAGTGTATTTCAAATTCCTTACATAATGGATGAGGCACACCTCATTTCAAATGTAGGTTAAGGTAGAGGCAGTTTATCAGAATATTTCATTAGAGTTAGGCTGTTTAATTTATGTTTGATTTTTTTGGCAGGTTTCGTTTCATGACTTGTTGCAAAAACTCATGAACAAACGTAACTATAAATACTTAATGGAATAGTAAAAGTACCAAGATTGCTCGAGTGATTTGTTTTGTAAAAAAATTATAATAGCATGTAAACAAATGGCTAACCAGGCTTAATTAAATGAATGAAAGAGAATTTTTAAGGATACCTCTGAGATGTCGATCAACCTCGAAATGAAATGATGAGCGTTGAGACAAACATGGCAGTGTGCATGAGCGGAGACAAACATGGACTTATACGTGAGCGGAGACAAACATGGACTAATAGTCTAATACATGAGCTGAGATAAACGTGTTGGGAGGCTGAGACAAACATGGCATTATATGTGAGCGGAGACAAATATGCAATGTGTGCGATATGAAACAAACAGGGAAGAAGTTAGACAAACGTACGTTTGTTAGGCCAGCTGGCTGAGATGGTGCCTTCCGGTAGCACAAAGTTGTGGAGAACTTGATGCATGATGGACGCTGACCTTGGGTTGGGAAATGTGAATGTGTAAACAACATTCGGACCTGCAAGTTAAGAGCGAGAGAAATCAATGGACGGGATGAAAACGTATAAAATTTACAGTTGATTAACAAATTAATCATAAAGGGATCAATCCTCTATTAAAGTTAAGTTTTTAGTTCGTCATTGGTCAAGGATATGGTGAAATAACATGTCAAATCTTGGTGATCACACCTTTAATTATTTGCATTCATTTTTTTTTAAATAATAAGTTGAATTAATTGCAATGGTCAAACAGTCAATCAAATGCATTTCCAAGTGAAACCTGAAATATTGAATTATATGTCTACAGGCATCATAATAAAAGCTTCGACATCCCACCTTCATGAGTGATAGAGTATTTATTCACGTTGGCCCCAAAGATGTGTGTTAGTGTGTCCAGGAACCCAAAACTGAAGCAAGCACTCCCTGCACTGATCTTAACAATTGTTCCTTGGGGTGCAGTTTTTCCCACATTTGTACACTCCAGCACTGGGTTCTGGCTTGTGACAGCAACATTGTCATTCTTTTCAGCATTTGTTTCCAATTTTGTACAATCCCTGGGTTCTTCTGTGACAGGCTTTTCCTGCATTTTTATTACTTCTGTGTTTGTAGTGGCAACGATGCTTCTTTCGTCAGCATTTGTTTTTAATTTGGTTATCTCATTAGAATTTTTATCGGAAGGTTCCTCTTTTATCTTCACTCCTTCAGAGTTCGTGGCAGCAACAACGTCACTATTTTCAGTGTTCGTCTCCAATTTCACCATTATCTCGGAATTATCACTGGCCACCTCAGGCTGCACCAGCACTCCTTCCGCGATCGTGGTCGCAACATCATCAACATTTTCAGTATCCGTCACCAATTTATTTATCTCGTTAGGATTCTCACAAGCAGGTTTTACTCTTGCCGCCTCTTGTTCAGATTGTTCCCTCCTCTTTGCTGCAATGAGAGCGCCAAGTTTCCGTCTGTTTTCTGCTGCCCCGAGATCTTTATTTTCAACTTTCGCCTTCTCAATTAATTGTGGCGCATTAAATTTCATTTTCAAGAACGAGGAGATGCTTTTTTTGACGTCAACCTTCCAGGAGTGGTAAGCAGGGAACGGCCTTTCAAGTTTTTTCAACAGAGTAACGCATTCAAGAACGGGTTCATAAGCTTCAGTCGGGCCATTATAGGGGTTGAAGTTCACCAAGAAATTATTCAAGGGCTTCTTGAGCTCTGCATGAACAGCTTGGTTCAGCAACTGCCAGTCACATTCTGCTCCTATGCAGACGATGCCTTCAGGGTGAGTGCCGACAGGATGAGGCAAGGATATGCTGCAGTGGAGAGCCTTGTGGTCCATTTGTGACAGGAAGTCTAAAGTCTCAGACATGAAAACTCGCTGGGGTGGAAAAGATGCAAGACTAACCGAACTCTGATTAGGCAAGCACTTCCGCAGAGCAACAAGTTGATCAATAATTGATCTTATCTTCACAGAAGCCAAATCCTTCAGTTTGACAGGGTCTTTAGTGCAATCATCTGGCAGAGAGTTCACCAGAATAGGATTTTTGCATTTGTTTTTAATGCAATGTTCAAGTGGAACTCGGTAGCCAAAACTTGACATGTCCAACACAAAGACTAGGAGCAAATTTGATGGCAATTCATAAGTCTGTTCTAGCACTTGAGATATCCAAGCGTTATTGCTGAAGTCAACGCTATGATTGTACAACAAGGCAGGGTTGTCTAGATATTGGCCTTTAACGCTCATGTCTCCAAAAAGAACAATTTTTTCATAGCACTTGCTTTCAGAATTAACATCAAAACATTTTTCCAGATTGGGGTATGTTTCAACGAAGGGGAAATCCAGTAGAGTTTTCATCCGTGACTTAGTCATGCCATGTGAAGCCAAAAATAAGACGGACTCAAGCAGACTGCTCCATGGGTTGAAAATGAACCATAGGTGACCAGGCCACATTTCTTGTATGGTCCAATCAACATGATGATCTTTCGATTCATACATGTCAAATAGCTCTAAAGAAAGACCTACATCTTCCCAGTTCTTGTGCACTAGCTGATGCATTGCAGACCATAAATCTTGCAGTTTCAATAACGCAGCTCTACCAGCAGACAAATTATCTTTATTATTGTCAGGCAAAGAGCTTGCAGCGGCTGTGGGCACCAGAAGCGCGAGGGACGAGCATACGTCAGAAGAAAGCAGTGACAGATTGTCCTCATCAAGAAGACTTAGTGGCATGAAGGGCATCATCAGCACTGCACTCGTGGAGTCAACTTCTGCTTTGAGGTGTGTCAGCATGTTCTCTAGTTGTGTTAAAGCCTGGAAGTATGTTCATTCATTAGCATTAATTAGTATTGGATGGCAGAATATGCGTTTACACATTAGCACTAGAAACTAAAGAGACATCAGGCACAATTGTCAGAGCACTTTAATTCCAAAGAATGGCAAATGCAAGAGATCAGAAAGTAGAACATTCACATTGTACAACAATTTTAAGCATGAATGTGTCATGTGATAGTCACGTCCATGAAAATTAAACTACAATGTTAATCTTTTTATGTTATCATATGCAACCATATTAATTAACCAACTTACATTTTCAGATCCAACCAGGTCTGTGAGGCATGCTGGAGTGAACAACCTCTCGGTGACCAGCACGACTGACGAGAAACATTGCACCACAGGCGTCCTAATAGAAGGATGCAGAATACAATGTAGAAAATTGCAGAATGTTCACACAACAGTGTTCAAATTAATGCTGAAAAAACTGTCTAGCTCTCATTTGGCAGCTGTTCAGTGGAATTGAACTGAGTCACAATTTTTTTCCTTCAGGTTAAAATATGAAACCCAAAACATACCAAAAAAATGGTTAACACTGTTTAGTTTAATGAGGCAGACGGCCACTTGACAGTAACTGCCTATCAGACAGTTTTTCCACCATTATTTTGAACACTTTTGTAGAGACTAATGGAAATATTGTAGCAGCTACAATACTAATAAAAGTTCCAATACATGTTAATGGAAAATAACAAATTTCAATTGTAAATATTAATTATGCTCTTTCTGTGTATAATAAATTGATTTACTAAGATATTTTTACTCAGGAGGATAGGTGAGCATAGGAACCCAAAAAAATGGCATAAAATTATCCAAGAATTAAAAACAAGCAGCAATTCCAAACAATTACATTTATAAAAAATATAATAATATTAGGTCATTGCCACATGAAAGCATGGCAGTTAATGTCTTCTGCACCAGAAGAAGCCCCTCCATTAAAGATGAAGCTTTTGCTCTTCAGTCTTGAACAGTCCAGTAGTACCAGCAAGTGGGAGAATTCAATCCAGCAGGCCTTTGGGACCAGATGTTGATTTCAGTTGAAAGTAAGATGTTGATTTGGCAGTCATTTTGCACCAGAAGATGATTTCAGATGAAAGAAAGACATTGATTTGGCAGGCCTGTGGCACCAGAAGTTGATTTCAGTTGAAAGCAAGATGTTGATTTGGCTGGCCTTCAGCACCAGGAGTTGCTTTGAGTTGAAAAGAAGTCAATGCCACAGAACTTTGATAACAGGAAGTTGGTTTCAGACTAAGTAGTGATCTTGTGTACTTGGCTTCATTCCAAAAATTTATTGGATTCTCAGTTACAGAATCTTGCAGTCGCCAACACGGTAAGGACAGTAATAAAACTGCCTCTACCAGCAACTCTGTTTAGGTCCCGCCTCTACCAGCAACTCTGTTTATGTGCCACCTCTACCAGCAACTCCGGTTGATTGGGGGTCTCTTATAAAAGTGAGACCAGGGAACCACAACAATAAAAACTCTGGTTGATCTGAAGAATCATATTTACGTGACGAGTGCTATGGTGCACTCAGTAACAGAAGATATTCTTTCTTGTGCGCAAGACAAGTATGGCTATCCTTTAGATGTTTGCTGTGAAGCACAAGGGGAACATATTGATCATTTATAAATATGTGAAAAAACATTGAATCCTTCTCTTTCTATTGGTGTATAAATTATTCAATTTGAATTTATACCTAAATCTATACAAATGTATTCAATCGGGTCCATCATTGAGAATAACCCCGTGTTATCTGGAAGACCACAACCAAGTTGATAATATTGCAAGTTTCAAAAAATGACTGGAATACCTGGTTTTTCTGACCATTATTTAGAAACCTGGATAAAACCCAATTATATCAAATGGATCACAATAATAAACAGAAATCAATTAATAATCCAGATAATTCTTGCAATTCTTAAATCAAGATGAAAAAATGTAGCACTATAGGGACCACTGATGGGCTTCTTGCATGGCACAAACTTTCTGAAATGGCAATGCAACAGCAGTTACTCTTGCTGCTACCACCACAAAATGCAATGTCCCTTTCTTTAGCCAACATTCATACAGTCATTTACTAATTCAAATGAACTTTGATGGATTAACAATAGTGTTTATCAATGAAAAACCTATAAAATAACTATCCTGAAACTAATTATGTACTCAACTTAATGAGATCATAACTAACATGAACTTGAACCATACTCTATAATTTATATGGTGTACTAATGCCAACAGCTAAATTGTATACATCGTTAATATCAGATTTTATAATTAGGATTTTAGAGAGATTCAATTCATCATGATAGTTCTATCAGAACCCTTGCATGCATGTTCCTGAGGTGCATACAATAGAGCCACTTTGTTATTTTAAACAAAGATAACAATGCCATGAATCTGTTACCTGAACCATGTTTTGCATAAATCTGTTACCCTTGCAAGAGTACTTTTATTCACTACACATAAAACCAGCAAACAAATAGTTGACAGTGACTCAAATTAGGTCCTTCAATCCTCACCCACTTACCATTTCACAGGCAGTAACAGCATTAAACAGCTATAAAAACACTGACATTACAAAAAAAAAAACATTATTAAACAGAATATTTTGCTCATGAAAAAAATATCAGTCAAGCAAAGAAAAGGAGGAAGATATTCCAAGAAACAAGAAGGACACAAAAGTTCAAGACATTTTTATAGCGATTTGGCTCTTGACAGATTTTTTAATGTTATTTTTAGAAAACTAAAGCAAAATCTCATTTCTCACAGGGTCATTTTGAGTAATTTCTTCTTATAATTGTGTAATAATTCTTATAATTGTGGGTGCACTTTGTTTTGTACATTAATGTGTGATATAGGTAGAATATAAACTTCGGAAAATTTTTGAATAAAAACCAGGTGGCAGATGCAGTGATTGGTACAGAAGTTAGCTCAAGGTGACAAATCGCAGACCTCCATTTTGTATTTTTACCTGCGATTGGCAGCAACTTCAATGTACAGCTTGAATTAAACTTTCCTAATGCATTTGGTTCTCCTCTTTTTTCTTCTGATATATATAGTTCTGCAATGGATCTTTAGCTTATTTTCCTTATTTTCTTATGCATGGCTGACAGAGGATTTTATTTAGTCAAAATGATGATTAATTATTTAACAGTTTTTTTTATTTCTAATTGGCTTAAATTAGGAGTAAGTAAATTTCAAGAGTGATTGTGGAATGCATTTATCATTGAAAATAAGAGATTACCATTTTCAAAAGATGTAATGATAATGTTCAAAATTATTGACAGATGTATTCATCTCATGCATATTCATCTCATTAAAATATGAAATAAAACAAACAAATATGAAGTATAATTTGTCAAAATGTCATAAATTTATCACAATTAACATACATGCTATCCGTTTGTAGCCAACATGCCAGTTGCATTAGAATAGCACAGGAAAAGCTAGAACCAATGAGGACCAAATAAAATTTCTGCTCTCCCAGTTTTCTTAAATTAAAAAAATAATAATAAATCAACACAATTGAGTGAAATTTCATGCAGATTCTCCTCAGTTATATTGCTTGAGTGAAATTTCATGCAGTAGAACAAGCAAAATAACTGAGGTAATTACACATACTATAACAGAAGTTATTTTGAACAAAAGTACCTCTGAGTCTCAAAGGAAATTAATTATCTATGAAGATTACCTGAGTATTGCAGAATGGGTCTGGCTCTGCAATCAGAACAAATTTCTGATTAAAGTGGCAAGAGAGGTTTTTTTTTCTAAGCAACACTTTAGTTAGGGTAAAAACAAATTTTAAAAGGTAATAATAAAGGCCTTACATAAGCATATAAATAAAATAAGTTCATCAAGCATTGTGAAAAATAGCATTGCAAAGAATGTTTGAAATTATACTAGCCTCTGTGACTATAAAAAAATGAAGTCACCATAATCCTGCCAACTTTCAACTAAATAAAAATATTAAAGAAAAGTAGAACAGATCTTAATTGAATAAATACTTTTAAATCAAGTGTATAGGCAGCAAATTTTAAATAAAATAATGTCTATATTTTCATTGTAAAATTTTAGAACAGATGATCAGTAACATACCTTGCTGTTATCCAGACTAGAGTAAAGAGACTCAAGAAGAGCCAGCAGACCCTCCTCTACATTCTCCTGCCTACTGGCATGGTACTGGTACCCACACATGGAAAGCTGGTTCAGAGCCCACTGATTATACACTTGAGTGGCACCAGCAAGTAGTATCTTGTGACTGTCTGGGCACTTGGTCCCCTGAACACCAAGCCAGTATTCAGTAATTTTATGATGGAAATTGAGTTATGTAAAGGTTATAGAAACATAATAGACCTAAGCCTGAGGCACTACTTGAAGATCTTGCTGGAAAGGTTTTTCACAAATTTGTGTAGACTTTATTCCTATATTATAAAAATATATTGCATAGCCACTAACACTACAACATCCATATATTAGTTCAAAAAATTACCTAGAAAAAGTTTGAATGAAAAAATAAATACATCTCAAAAAATACATCCTACTAACAAGAATTTTATTTCATAATTTCTATTTAAGCTTACCATTTGCTCTATCTCCAAAGAAGATCCCGGATCTGGGGCAGAATTTTCTCCTTTGTCTGAACACAAGGGAAGGAACAAAACATTGCTGCTGTCTGAGGAGCATAAGACTCTGCTCCAGACATCCCAAGACTTGCTGATGAGGTCCCAGCCAGCATGGGTACCCAAAGCCTTAGCATTGGGAATTGATTCCAGAGAATATTTTTCCACTGCACAATTTTTCTTGCTACCATTGGACTCAATTTTCTTCTGTGCTCCAAGTACTGAATCCTGTACTCCAGCAATGATGAACAAACATTGTTCCCTGATTATTGACAAGTTTTGAAGCATTGAAAGATGTGCAGTTGCTGGAGTCAAGCAATGTTGGTCAATAACTTCTACTTGAGGGAAATCGGTCGCAACTTTCTCTTTAATTTTCAAATAGAAGCGATGATCTATGATGAGAATAATCTTGGTAGGAGAACGGTTGCGACATAACAGAGCCTGCATAAATAAAAAAATCTTGCAATATAAACATAATAGTCATGAAAAAGATCACTGACAATCTCCATAGCATGACTTACTTTACAAGTCTAAAACATTTCAAAATCAGGAAGCAGCAATGGGAAGCCATTCTACTCCCTCACAGTTTCAAAAAATTTTAGAGTAAATTCTCTTACAAAATAAAATTAAATTATTAAATTGTAAAGTAGTACTATCTTAACATAAATATGAAGGCTCATTGGAAAGTAGATTATATTTTTGTCTGTTACTGCCAGGGGCAAATCAATCACACCCATTTTGGTAGTAATAAAGTTTTAGCAACCACAATCAGAAATTTACTTGAAACTCTGTGTTGGGTAAATAAATGACATTATCACTGAAGATGGTGTTGATGAACTGACTACTGGTGGATGAATTGGCTTGCAACACAGCTTTTTGATGATGCCAAACAGTAGACAGGCATGACTAATTGGCTAATATTTCATTGTGCTTAATTTGACACACAATTTTTAATTCCTTAAGTAGGAATTAAAAAACTTTATCACTGCCATGATAAAATCCTCAATTTGGGCATGTGGAAACATAGGTTTCAAGTTTCTCTCTTGTATGTTTATACAAAATGTTGCTCCCTCAATATTTACTTTTGTATTACTTTCAAAATATAATCTGCTTTTATATAGCCTCCATATTTTACATCATAATATTGAATCATTTTTTTAGATTATGGCTAAAGTTTTCTTTAATAAATGATGACATTTCACACTCCTGTTTGAAGGCAATGCAGTTCATGCTGAAAAAAGGACTGATTTTTTTGCTGAGCTCACAGAAAATGAGCTCAAAGAAAATAACTCTGACTAAAATTACACTGATTCTTCCACAACAGTGAAGTACAAGAAATCCTGCCACAATACAATTAGATGATTGTACAGATAATATCCCCACTTCTGAAGGTAGCATGCAAGATTTGGCAATTTTCAAATGTGAACTGCTGTCTTGGGGCACTTCCATGATCTTGGAGTGTTCTTCCAGTCTTGATACTTTCATAAAAACTTCTGACAAAGTTGACCATGAAGTGCTCTTCAGAAAGCTGAGGTTGTTGGAGGTAGGAGGAAGCCTGTTAGGTTGGATCCACAACTTCCTTACAAATGAGTACAACTGTACAAGCTGTCACAATTGAAAATTCTAAATAAAGAGAAGCATAGATGACAATCAGAGACTTAAAGCTTGGACAGATCCTCTTCCTCATTTGTAGAGCCGATATCAACTCAGAACTGACTTGTGCATCTACATCCTCATTTGCAGCAATGCAAGAGTGTTAATGAGGATTACAGACAAGCTGGCATGCAAGATGTAACAGGATGACATTTTGACACTCTACAATTGGGCCCTGGTGAATAATATGCAATTCAATGGCACAAAGTTTGAAGTAATGAGATATCGAGTTGGCACAGAAGCCAGGATGCTGCAGAGTGACTTGGCATTGAATGTGTGACTTGGCTGCAGCATGACTTGGCACAGAAATTGAAGAAGAGATCAACTTGTTTGGAATCACGGAGTTTTGATGAGTACCAAAGCCATGTTTGATGACCAGATTGCGGCAATATTTGCATGAGGCAGATAATGGATGGTATGAATCTGGGTTGCATTCCAAACAAGAGGAGTAGAGCTAATGATTACACTCTTCAGAGCCCTCATGCTCCCCATTGTGGAGCACTGCTGCCAGCCTTGAGTGGCGCTCAAGGCAGGTGCAGTGCAGAAACTGGAGGCAGTCCAACAGACCTTCGGGTCAAGGATCAGCAGTATGAGAGAGCTGAAGTTGGTCTACTGGGGCAGGTAACAAATAGCTGGGACTGTACACAATGGAAAGGAGAAGATAGAGGTATACAATACTAACTCTTGGGAGATGATAACTGGAATGGTTCCCAACTTTCAGGATAGTCACATGTCAATGAAAGGAAGGGGGGACAGTGCAGGATTTCCTCATTCAATAACCAAGCTGCAGCCAGAGTTCAGGCTCTGAGCGGGATAATTTCTGTGGCAGTATCAAGGCTGTTCAATGCCTTGCTATAGGAACTAAGAGACATGGGATTTCACCCTTGCAAAACAGAAGAAGACTGGATGCACATTTCAGCACAATCCCGGATTTTCCAGTTATGGGCCACTACCCTCAGCAAGTGGCAAGCAACAGCATCCTGCATCAGCTGTTTCAATAGAGAAATGTGTTGCCTTATGGACCCAAGGGTGGTACCCTTAAACTTGTCATAATGCCATAAGGTAAGGTGGCAGCACTCTGCTAGTGATAGGGAGCTTTTTTTAATACTGAATATTATTCTTCTAGCGCTCCAGCACTCTGCAAGTCTGTATGGCTATGCTAGTCATGCAGCACTTTTCAGGGCCACAGCTTGTTCAAGTCTTGCAGCACCTTTCCCATTGAGCAGCTTTCAATTTTGGAGCACTGCCAGTCTTGCAGCACAGTTTCATTTCAGTTTTGTATTACTCCTCAATTTTGTATTATATTCCTGTCTTGCAGCATTCTTCCTGTCTTGCAGCATTCTTCCTGTCTTGCAGTACTCTCCCTGTCTTGCAGCAATACTGTCTTGCAGGACTCTTCCAGTCTTGCAGGACTCTTCCAGTCTTGCACCATTCTTCCAGTCTTGCAGGACTCTCCCTGTCTTGCAGGACTCTCACTGTCTTGCAGGACTCTTCCAGTCTTGCAGGACTCTTCCAGTCTTGCAGGACTCTTCCTGTCTTGCAGGACTCTTCCTGTCTTGCAGGACTCTTCCTGTCTTGCAGGACTCTCCCTGTCTTGCAGGACTCTCCCTGTCTTGCAGGACTCTTCCAGTCTTGCAGGACTCTTCTTCTCAAATATGGAACACTCAATGCTAACTGAAATTAGTAATAAACTAGAAATAGGAAAGATGGTGAAAAAGAACATTGCCTGTTTTTGCCTTTTCAACTTTCAGGCTGTTCAAAATTCCAAACAGAATGTTTCAGAAGTTGATAACAAATGTCATAAACATACAACAAGATGTGACAGTGGATACAGAAAGTTTTTAAAAGTGTGAAAGAGAACCAGCAAGACCAGCCAATTATTAACCACATTTTTAATAATTATATTTATTCACTCTCATTTTTGTTTTCATGAGTGTACCATAAAACAGGATGACTTGGACCATTTTCAGCTGTTACTTTTTGCGAGTCACATAGTAAATAAATAAAATATATCTCCTTATTGCATTTTTAGGTTATCTCATGGTACTTCAAATTACTTCAACACAATTTTTCCAAGTCAAAAACTTTTTGAGTTATGGCATTTATTTCTTAAATACCTACAAAATGGTTCAAGACACCCCGTCAATGGTCTAAGTCATGACGTATTATGATATTGGCAATGGAAACCAGGTTTCTCAATCAAACCCTATGTATTTAGGCATTGTATGGATATCAAATCCATTGGTTATTCCTCAGAGATTTGTAGTGAATGATCTTCATTAAGTGATAAAATAATAAATATTTTGTAGCATTGTATAACACTTTGAAAATCTCTTTTTTAAGGTTTGGAGTCCAAATTCCTTAAATGATTAGCAGAATAAATATTGGCTGCACCTGACAACTACACAGCCTATCTCTTCCTTTACCTTATAAAAAATCTTTTATTTTTTTGCACAAATCATCATTTTTCATTAGAATTTTGCCTCATCACAATCCTAGCATAAAAAAAAGCATGCTTGCAAGCTATTGATGTCAAAATTGCACATAATCTACAAATTATCTTCAACTGAAAACAAGCATTCTGCAAGATAAAGTGGCTACAGGACTGTATACATAATGGTTAGGCGTGAGATCATCTCTGACAATACAAATTACATACAAGAATACATAGTGGTGGTTGTGTGATCATCTTACAAACAACCAATCACAGACCAGAATACATAACGGGTGGTTGTGTGATCATCTTACAAACTATTAATTACACAGAACACATAGTGGATGGTTGTGTGATCATCTTACAAACAACCAATCATAGGCCTGAATACATCATGGGTGGTTGTGTGATCATCTTACAAAATACCAATTACACAGAACACATAGTGGGTGGTTGTGTGATCATCTTACTAACTACTAATCACAGACCAGGGGCCATCCTTTCAAAACTCGCCAAGTTAACGTAAGTAGGTACTTATGCTCTATTTTCTTGTCTATGATTGGTGGATTTTGCTTTAAAGGCTGTCAATGATTGGCTGATGAACTTACGATCTCTTTAGTATTTTTGAGAGTATAGGCCCAGAATACATAACGGGTGGTTGTATGATCATCTTACAAAGTAACAGTCACAGCATAGCATACAAAATGGGGGTCCAGATCCACCAGTATCAAATTTCATATCAATCACAGTGTTCTTTTATATATTTTGTAGATTTTTCATAAATATTAATGAAGCCAAAAACAACAAGATAAAAAATCTGGAGAAAATGAACATTGAAAGGATTATATTACACACTAAACATCTGATGCATTGCAATGAAATAACATTAAATACAATGCAATAAGAAATAAATGCTAGTAACATACATCATTTCATTAATAACAAGAACTTAATTGATCCGTGTTGGCTCAAAACAAACAATTTTTAAGAAATTTGCATGCTGATTGCAAACTTATATTGAACAGATCTTCAAACACAGATGTCAATTAGAACCTCATCCCATGCAGTAGTATGTGCCTCAAAAGAAATAGGTTTTTTATGAAGAATTATTAATTTTAAACCATAATTAGCAAAGGAAAGCATATATAATATACAAATATCACAGGAAAATTGCAACTAAGCCAAAAAATTTGGTAACTAGTACATAAAATCCAAATTTTTTCACTACAGGTGACAATCAATTATCGCATGGAACTCAGGAAGATAAAAAAATAATCACACATTCTTTGACCAATGGAATTGATTTCAATTTGCAACAGTTGCACAACAATGATTTACACACATAATTATCTGGAGAGATTGAGATCTCCCTACTGTAAAAGAAATAGTAGAGTTGAATCAAGTTGGGGAAATTTTCTTTTGATATTAGTTGTCTGCTAGTGTAATGACAATGGGGTTCAGCCACTGCCAGTGTGAGGTTAGGTTACTAAGTACAGTATATAGGTACATAGGTACTGAATTTATTGTTTATGTGATGAGTAAACATTGGAAGCATTTTATGTGTTGCATATCACAGAATACACAAACTTTGATGAGGTAAAGTGTTTCACAAAAATATTTATGATAAAATTCTATACATAACATTACCAGTTTGTGCCAAAGCTGCAGCTGCGTTGAGTTCCATTGCTTGCAAGCAGCATAACATGATTGCAGGGCCTTCACAGGAATGTTTTGTAGGACCTGACATAATCATCATGATGGATTAGTATTTAACAATTACCTATATGTCTGAAATCTAAATAAACACATTTGAGGGCTTTTGATAGCAGTGTTAACTTGAATTTCACTGAAGGCTGAAACATGTATAAAATGAAAATTAATCTCAAAAATCATAATCAACAATGGATAACAGGAGCCATTACAATAATGAAGCCCAGTATCAAAGAACCGATTTATATTTTATAATTAAAAGATGCTCAGAAAAAAAGGCTGTGTAGAGTGCCTTACCTTACAAAATGAGGTTTGTTCATTTCTCAGACAAGCACAATTTTTGTGACTCTTCATGATTTTGGTGTCGGCTAAAAGGTATTCCTCTTTGAGCAGTTCCATGTAAGTCCTTACAGTTTGCACAACAAAATGTTTAGAGAAAAGTTGGAACATCTTGCAGTGAACTGGTTCAGCCACTGCTATTTTCCCATTGATAGTGAGAAGTCCCTCATTCAGCTGCAAATCACTGGATGCACTAGACAATTTGTTAAACATTTCGCGTTCAGAAGGTAATACTCCAGGATGAGAAAGAAAAGTGAGAATTTCTTCCTTGGTACTTCCACTGGCAAGGAGGTGTAGAGCATAAATCAGAGGATGTTCAAGGTTACTGTCACTCTTGGCCACCATCACCAGCTTTTTTCTGATTTCTTGCAGCAAATTGCACTGAAATAGACATTTAACAAGAAATTTAATAGTTCATTACAGCATTTATTCAATTGATACTAAGTAGCAAAATACTATTACGATTAGAGAATGAGATAAAAATTAGAAAAATATCAAGGGTCTGTCTATGGTATAAAAAACAAACTTTATTTAATAAAATTGAAATAAATTTCAATAATCAAGTTTATTAAACTCACAATTTTCAAGCAAACCAGAGCAGCTTCACGTCTCATTGGAGGACTGCTACTGCTGAACCCCTTTCCATTGGCTTGTATGAACTCCTGCTTGAGTAAAGACACAAAAAATTTGAGATATTGTGATTAGATGACATCAGTCTGACCTAACCTGGAAAGTCAACTTTTTTTGATATATGTTAAAATTGATAATTACCTTGCATATATGATATACCTTTACTGTTTATATTGAAAAATATGGATAAAAAGTCACTCACATCTGATGGGAAGGACAGATCTTCAGCATTGGTGAAGCCCATATCAGACGAGTTCAAATCTCCATAATTAAGTTCCTCAGTTAAGGTGAAGCGGTCAGTGACATCCACATTCATTTTAGCATTTAAATCACCGATAGCAATAGCAGTACTCTCATTTTTTTTGTGATCATCAAAATCACTAAGTTCTTCATATTGTTGGAGCTTGGTATCTGAAACTGGGGCTCTATTTTTGCTATCTTGTTTTGCTTTGGCTTGGTCTGTAGCGTTAACTTCAGAAGTAGCAATTTCATTCGAAGCTTCATTTTGAAAAGTGGCCACACCTTTATCAAAACTTTGAGCAGCATTTTCTTGATGGCAACCATATTCCTGCCATGAATGTGATTCAGAACTAACCACAGTAGGGCCAGTCTTTAAAGAATATACTTCCATTAATTGACATATTGGTTCATCCTTGATTTTCATAGGAAAATAACCTCCATGGACAGTGGAAACCTCTATAGATCTGAGTATTTCACTGCCATCATCAATATGCTGACATTCTTGAGGTATAGAATGAAGATCAACACTATTGATATCTTGGGCTTCAGGTGTAAATGTTGATGAACAAAATTCTGGCAGACCCGGTGCTGTTTCACCAGGCATAGTTGCAATATTTTCTTTCTTAACCAAGGGCTTTGAAACACTGGAAAAATCATCCCAAGTTTTATGAGAGCTTGTTGAGGCTTCACAAGGTATTTTTTCAGCCCATTCCTTTCTAGACACAGGGAAACCAGTTGTTTGAAAACAAGAATCAACACTCAAGCTATCTGAGGATTCTTTTTTGACTATAGTTGATGTTAAAATATTATCTTCTGATGCAGCAAGGCTTTCTTCATCATCATCATAATCAGAATCAATAGTCTTGATTTTATTTTTTCCATTTAGACTTAAATTATAAAGTCTTTGAAGTCTTTGTGCTGAAGAACATACAATCAGATCCTCTGAACAAAATCCTTCAAATGTACAATAACAATCATCTGTTTCATCAGCATTGCTTTCTACCTTTATATTAGTAGTACTGCTCACAGGAGTAGGAATATCAGTTTCAGTAATTACAGGCATGTTTTCAATTTGATCTTCAGCTACCTCTTGACAAGCTGAAGTTCTTGTAACAATATTTGTCTGATTAGAAAACTCTGTCATAGGAAAGCATTTTTCAGCTTTTTTTGCAGCAACAGAATCCAAGAGGCTTTCCACCCCTTTTCCAGCATTATTTGTCACATCCAGTGCTACTTTCAACTCCTGTCTTAAAGCCTTTGCATTTTTTCTAGTATGCATTCTAGATTATGTTGCATATCACTGCAAGGAAGAAAAATAGTAAAATTAAATCATTAAAACTGAAAATGCAATGAAATAGAATATATCAATATTATCAACTAAGCATAAATTGCCCAAATTACACAATTACACCATGCATTTAAAGACAGTAGAGTTGAGTATGACAATTAAATTACAAGATATGGGAAATCAACTCATGAGGGAATGTTCTGAGCCTCACCTAAATGCAGACTATTGACTGTCTGGTTACAATTTTGATAGAAATGTTAATGTTTTCTTAAATAAATATAACTTGTGATATGGGAAATCAACTCATGAGGGAATGTTCTGAGCCTCACCTAAATGCAGACTATTGACCATCTGGTTACAATTTTGATAGAAATGTTAATGTTTTCTTAAATAAATATAACTTACAATGATGCATTGGAGTCTGCAGCCCAAATATGGCAATAAGCAATGATGGTGACCTTAAACTGATATCTATGTTTACTGTTTAGTTGCACTCAAAAACAGTCGATCAATCTACATGGCATGGCCAGAGATTATTCTATGTATTCTGCCTGTTTTGACTGGCATTTGTCATTGCCAGCTATGGGGAAACAGGATGCAGATAGCTATCAAGTGTCAGCTACAATTCTATCTTGGGTCTATTGGGATGGAATTTGTAGGTATGTGCACTAAAAACAATTTTATTGAATTGTAGTGAAAACTATACATCTGAAGAGAAAAATCTAGATAAATACAATTTAAATTCAAGTGGAATATTTCACTTTTACAATAAAAGTGAAAAAGCAACAACATTTTTCTTTTATTCAATTATGGCACAAAAATGAACCAATTATTGACACTTTTGACAATTTGGCAGCCATTTCCGCAAGACGGGGTAATAAGGAACACCCCACGGAGTAAATAGGGATGACCCCCGGGTAATTAGGGACAACCCTAAAACACATTTACAGCAGATCCTCTTGTTAGCAAAGGCCATAGTTAAGATAAATATGGTTAATCACAAAGATTTTTGCTTAAATTTTAAATTTAAATGAAAATTTAAATTTAAATAAAATCTTCTTGGGGAGCAGAACAGCCTGGATGTTAGGCAGAACTCCTAACATCCAGGTCACTCAATGCAATGGTCACTCCCTAAAGAAGCTTGTTGAGCTCCTTGTTGCGTTACATCTAAAAGGAAGAGGAGGACTTTGGAGTACTGCTAGTAATAGGCGAGTGGCTTTGTAATTTCCATTTACAAAGATTACTTGCAAAACAATTTGCATTTAATAAGAATGATTCTATAGAAGGATTTTGAATTATTGTTAGTTTATAGATAATTTTTTGTTACCATTTAAATTTTAAATGGCTGCCGAGTGCCAGCAACCGGCATGGCAGATCCTCCCCAACCCCACCTCCCAGCTTATCCCTCTTTGGCCTTGGCAAAGAAATATATACTTAATTTTGCTTTGACTTAACTCTTGATTTATTTTCATTATTGCAGAATCTATTCATTATTGCAATATTTGAGTAATTAGGCTTTATTCTTCATATGTGAACTGCATTTACTTGTCCATAATGGGCCGTTAGTTCTTTATTTACTCCATTAACCAGTATGATGTTTTATGTTGTTTTCTTTCTTTCTTCTTATTATTTAATTCAGACTTGTTTTGTATATAATGCATTTGTTTTTTTCAAGATTGGTTTAGCTGTAAGAGAAAGGAAAGCAGTATGTCTGCTAGTCATTTATTTAATTTTACATGTGTATAAGCATAAAGAAAGGAACCTCTTGAGTTATGTCTGTTGTATCATTTGACCACTTAACACATATTGTTCATTGTATGAAATATTTACCTAAATTATAATTTATATGTAAATATTTATGAGAGTAATTCAACTGCACAATGCTGGGTTTCAAATGAGATCATATATGCATAGTATGCATAAAAGTGTATAATTTGTTATATTTTTCACTTGGATTTACACTGTTTCTTGATTATAAACCATTGAAGCATAATGAAATGATATATGCCCTTGCATTCTTATGAATTACATGAAATAACATGAGTGCTTTAGATTAACAGATATCAAGAGGACTACAATGGCATACTTATGTTGTGGTGCTCATTCTTTTGAACTGGTGGGAGATTCGATGCTGAAGCGCTTCTACCAATTTGCCAATCAAGGTAACCTTGACATGATAAAAATGTTGGGGGGGATGTATTTTGTTCTTTAATGATCTTAAGCTTGTACATGAACCATATATGTCAGTTTATCAACTAATATCCAAATTTGTCAACAGATCAGAAAAACTAAGGTCGTGCTGTGCATTGGTAGGCAAACCATGGATAAACTATGCAAAAACCTTTGTGGAACCTTAGTGAACCAGGATGTTATCCTGCAAATTGGAACCAATGACCTTCTTGTAAGTTAGTGTGTAGCATGTTTCATTGATAATAAAGTATCAAGTGCTTCAAATATGACTGTCAATGCCAATTGCAAGTGCACATTTTAGTTCATCTTTATTCACTATATATATATACTGTTTACTGAAAATTACACTAAAGAAGTAGGCAAGTTTGGATGAAAAGTTCATTTTGTGTTATTTGTGGCTTGCAACTGGTGCGACGGCATGGTGCCCGAACTGTTGGTAAGGATCAATTAATTGGAAATTTGAATGCTTATTTTGAATTATTGTAAAGTTGAATCACTAGTTCTTCATTCTTGTAGTACATTTGTTCTTTTATTTTGTTTTCAGAAACTGTTTGTGGTATGGTTTACAAATGTGGATAAACGTAAATGTTAATCATACTGCAACGCGTCATATCAAACTTTTATGGGTTACTGGAAAAGAAAGGTGATGGCCAAATTAATGCTACCGTAGAGGTCATCTTTCTCCAAGTGCCAAATAATTGAAGAAATATTTTTTAATTAATAACCTTAATTTTTAAATTACAGAAGTCTGGAGAAATAGACATTGACAAAATGAAGAATTCTATGCTGGAAGTGATATCAGCCCTGCAAGATTCAGGTGCCCAGTGCATCATAGTCTTGACACTTCCACCAATACCCAAATTGGGCTTCACAAATGGCATCTTAAGAATCTGGAAAGCCTTCAATAAATGGAAGCTATCAGATTTATCATGTTTAATGTTGTATATATAAATCATTTTTTGTTCATATGTTGATGTTGTATATGTATGTAGAGCAAAAATGTAAAAAAATATATACAAGGGTTGGACAAAATAATTGGAACACTACCCTTATTAGTATGTACCGGTACCTTTTCTTAAAAATCCTTCTCTGTCCAAAATATTCATCAGAGTTTCATTATATTCATATACATATATAATTAATCTATGTCGTTTTTACTATTACAGGTATATTGCACAATCTATTCTAGATTTATTTAAAAATTAGGTAAGATGCGTGACTTAACTGATTTCGAAAAAGGGCAAATTGTTGGTGCTTGCATGACAGGAGCTTCGATCACCAAAGTCGCTGAGGTTTTTGGTTTTTCAAGAGCTACTATATCAAGGATGATGACACAATTCGAAAAACAGGGGAAAACATCTAATAATCACACTAAATGTGGTCAACCTTCAAAGCTATCTGATAGAGATTAAAGAACATTAAACCGCATTATGAAAAAAATAGGCAATCTACAGCTACAGAGGTGCATGCAGAGTTAAATCAGCATCTCAGCACTGAAGTTTCTACCAAAACCGTTCGTCGTGAGCTTCTTAAGGGTGGATACCATGGAAGAGCCGCTATCAGGAAACCTCTACTTATTTCAGGAAACATTCAGAAGCGGATGCTGTGGTGCAAGGACCACAAAACCTGGTCTCCAGACCAGTGGAGGCAAGTAATATTCTCAGACGAGTCCTCCTCCTACAAGTCAAACGAGTCCTCACTTCTCAGAAGAGTCCCTCAATATTCTCAGACAAGTCAGATGAGTCCTCCTCCTGTCTGGATGAACTGGAGAAGGTTTTGATGGAAGAGTGGCTGAAAATTCCAATAGAACAAGTCAAGAAGCCTGGAGAAGGTTTTGATGGAAGAGTGGCTGAAAATTCCAATAGAACAAGTCAAGAAGCTGTATGATTCAATTCCCAGACGTATTGAAGCTGTATTGAAGCTGTATTGAAGGCTAAAGGGGGTCCAACTCCGTATTAAATAAAGTTTCTCTAAATTTATCAGGTGTTCCAATTATTTTGTCCAACCCCTGTAAATGTTTTCTTTTTGTTTTAGTGGATAATTCAGGTATCACTGTTGTCAACACTGGCAAGATCTACAATTTTGCTGCAAACAAGTTCGAATGGGACCTGTTCTTGCTGGACGCTGACATATATTGGAATGAGAATGGGATGATGATTGTGCTGGAGATGCTTGAGAATTCCATGTAGCTTTGCAAAAGAGTGCTGAGTCTATGTATGTGTGAGACTGTGTGTAAATGCTGTCTTATTACACTAGAGTTCTTTGTTCCTAGAGCACCTACATAACAATATGAGACAGTGATGAGTGCAACAAGAATTCTGTT